TGTTCAAGACATTGATTGAATTGCCAAAGTTCACACAGTGGGAATTTATGTACATATCTGTCTCCAAAGTGCAGGCTTTTTCATTTTTATAATTTCATGACAAAAGTGTTTGGTGCTTTTGAGTATTTTGAATGGAAATCTGTTTTATAGAACTTCAGGAATATTAAAAACTGAAGTCCCACTTGTAAACAACTCTGTTGTCTGTTTTGACGTGTCCAGGTACCACATCCTTTTCTTTCTTGCTGCTACCCTTTGACTATTTCATATATTGTAGAAGAAAGAATACAGTTAATTAATATTTTTTATTATTAATTGCCTTGGCAAAAGTTTTGATGTGGAAGAAAATGGAAATTACTGATTAAAATGAACTTTGTGGGGCCAGGCTCAGTGGCTCATGCCTGTAATCCCAGCACTTTGGGGGGCCGAGGTGGGTGGATCACGAGGTCAAGAGATTGAGACCATCTGGTCAAGATGGTGAAACCCTGTCTCTACTGAAAATACAAAAAATTAGCTGGGCATGGTGGCGCGTGCCTGTAGTCCCAGCTACTCAGGAGGCTGAGGCAGGAGAATCGCCTGAACCCAGGAGGCGGAGGTTGTGGTGAGCTGAGATCTCGCCATTGCACTCCAGCCTGGATAGCAAGAGCGAAACTCTGTCTCAAAATAAATAAATAAATAAAATAAAAATAAAAAATAAAATGAGCTTTGTTTATTATCTTTAAATTTCACTTAATGGTACATTACCATTTTTCATCCTCATGATTTCTTGAATTGACTTAGTTAAAAAAGAAAAAAACCTTGAAATTTCTCTCATTTAAGCGAGTCAATACAATACTGTTTTTACAAATGAGAACTTTTGCTTATAATAGTTTATAATTACCTTAATGATCACACAAAGAAATAAAGTAGTCACGTGCTGCAGAATGGCATTTTGTTCAATGACGGACCACAGTGGTCCCATAATATTATAATATTATATTTTAACTGAACATTTTCTATGTTTAGATATGCTTAGATGCACAAATACTTACCATTGCACACAATTGCCTGCAATAGTCCCTACAGAATTCAGTACAGTAGTTTGCTGCACAGATTTATAACCTAGGAGCAATATATACCATATAGCCTAGGTGTATAGAAAGTAATACTACCTAGGTTTGTATAGGTATACTCTGTGATGTTTGCATAATGAAGAAATTGCCTAACAATGCATTTCTCAGAATGCATCCCCATTGTAAAGCGACACGTGACTGTAAATCTTTAAAGTAACCAGCTCTGTTGGTAGTTGAAGAGGGCCAATAGCCACAAAATAGTAGACTTCATTCTGGGAGAGCTAAGTATAGCAGAGTCTCAATGGAAGGTCATCTTGGTACACATGATGGCTGACCTGGCTCTGTATACAGTTGATGCTTAAAATCCTTAGCAGTATTAATGAGATTCTATCACTATTAAAAGTAACACACATACTGCACTATACTCTAGTTTCTACTTAAAAGAAATCTATCGTTTGCTAATTTTACAGAAAGGCAAAGAAGCATTCACTATTTTAGTAGCTATAAAAAATGTATGCCCTTATTGGCTATCCTCTGGAAATTTTGAATCAACAATTAATATTAATATTTGAATTTCATGTATTATATTGTTCTAGCTAATGGAGTTTGAAGAAAGCAATAATCAAACTGTTGAGTTTTTTCTCTCTTTACGTTAAACTAATGTAAGTGTTTTTCAGTTTTCTTTATGAATTGTACCTTGCCTACAGGTTATTACTGACTTATGAAATTATACAGTAAATTGATTTTTATGTGTGTAGAATATTTGTTTCTTTGAAAACATATAAGGGAAAGAGAAAGTAAGTATTTACAAAGTATTTGACAAGATTAAATAATTATATTTTCACTAATTTGTTGCCGGTGGAATTCATGGGCAAATATATAAGAAAAAGAGAGTTGATCAGATTCAGCCTCTTGGGCCTATGGCCTGGCATTTTCACACAGTACAAAAGCTTTCCTAGAGTTGAAGGACAAGTGGGAATCATGTACTTCCATTGAAAAAAAAACCAAAAAACAAAACATTGTGTGAGAGTATAATTTTGCCTGGAGTTTCTTCGATTGATAAAGGACTGGCCTTCTTTGTTATACAAACATAGGTGACATTTGTAGCCTCTGCTGCAGGATTTGGTTGCAACAAATTTTGGGAGGGACTTAATTAAGTGGTGATTCCCTGAAATATCTGGTTTGAAGAAGGCAATTGCAGGAGAGAAAATAGTTGCTTGAATAATGAGTTTTTCTCATTCCTTCTCCCCAGGATTTGAAACTGGAGAATATTAGGGTAGCCTCAGTCAAGGTTCAGGAGCAAAGACAGGAAATAGGGCTTAAGAAATAAAATGACTTTTAAGAAAGATAGAATTCTGGTTGGGCAGGCCTAACGTAAAAGACCAAAGGCCTGTGAAAGATGACTGCGTTTTCTAACAGTTTGTGTGTGGCTAAGACCAGTTACCTTAGCATGGTGGTTGGCAGATTTTGGCATGCATAGGACTCTCCTGGAGGGACTGGTAAACACTGATGTTTAAGCCTCACACCCAGACTTTCCCACAGAAAACCCAACCTTAATCTGTCTTGGTTTTTGACATGTCTTCCCCATTGAGCTTAATTATTTCTAGCTTTGATTGAAGGTGAGAGATGTGCAGCTCTCCCTTTCAATTGAACACTTAGGGGCTATGGTAGGGTTATTAAGTGGCCTAATTTCAATAGTGTTGTGTTCCAGAGAATAGAGAGGGCTGAGGAAAGAGAGACAGATGGGGGAATAGCCGGTTAGTGGAACAGTCAGAACACACACAACTATAGCTTTACAAAATATATTTCTTAAATTATAATACTTGAAATCAAAATTACATCTGGATTCATGGGCTAAAGGATAAATATTGTACTTGCAGTTATGAAAACAATATTAATCTTCTTGTACCCCTCCATCAGAACTCTTGGGTAACAAGGTGCATTGTCACTGAGCAGGAATATTTTGAAAAAAAAAAAATCTTTTTTTTTTTTTTTTAAGCAGTGGGCCTCCATAATGGGCTTAAAAATATTCAGAAGACCATCCTGTAATCAGATGAGTGGTCATCCAGGCTTTGTTTTTCTATTTACAGAGCACACGCAGAGTAGATACAGGTTAATTTTTAAGGGCCCTAGGATTTTCAGAATGGTAAATAAGCATTGCTTCAACTTCAGGTCACCAGCTGCATTAGCCTCTAACAACAGAATCAGCCTATTCTTTGAAGCTTTAAGTCCAGGCATTGACTTCTCTTTTTTTTTTTTTTTTTTTTTTTTTTTTTGAGACGGAGTTTCGCTCTTGTTATCCAGGCTGGAGTGCAATGGCACAATCTCGACTCACCGCAACCTCTGCCTCCTGGGTTCAGGCAATTCTCCTGCCTCAGCCTCCTGAGTAGTTGGGATTACAGGCACGTGCCACCATGCCTGGCTAATTTTTTGTATTTTTAGTAGAGACGGGGTTTCACCATGTTGACCAGGATGGTCTCGATCTCCTGACCTCGTGATCCACCTGCCTCGGCCTCCCAAAGTGCTGGGATTACAGGCTTGAGCCACCGCGCCCGGCCTGACTTCTCTTCTTTAGCTATGAAAGGCCTAGATGACATCTTCTTCATATAGAAGGCTATTTTGTCTACATTAAAAATCTAGTGTTCAGTTTAGCCACCTTTATCAATTATCTTAGCTAGATTTTTGGGGATAACTTGCTGCAACTTCTGCATCAGCACCTGTTGCTTCACCTCTCACTTGGATGAGATGAAGATGGCTTCTTTAACCTCAAGAACTAACCTGTGCTACCTTCACACGTTTCTTTTGCACCTTCTTCACCTCTCTCAGACTTGATAGAATTGAAGAGGGTTAGAGACTGGTGCTGGATTGGGCTTTGGCTTAAGAAAATGTTGTGGCTGGTTTGGTCTTCCACTCAGACCACTAAAACTTTCTTCATATCAGTAATAAGGTTGTTTTGCTTTTTAAATATTTGTGTTCATTGGAGTAGCACTTTGCATTTATTTTAAGAACTTTTTCTTTTTATTCACAGTTTGGCTGTTTGATGCAAGAGACCTAGCTTTCTGCCTATCATGGTTTTCTTTTCTTTCTTTCTTTTTTTTTTTTTTTTTTTAAGGACCAGACATAGCCTTTAATTCCAAATGTTAAAACACAATCATGTCTTCTAAATCACAACTTTTAAAATTAATCATAAGGTTACATAGTTCGAATTATAAAATTTATCCACTTTAAATAAGGATACCTCTTATAAAGTGCTTTATTGTGGTTTCACGAATTTCAAGGTGCTTCTACATGGCAAACCCTCAGTGGGTCAGGATCCTCTAAGATTAAAATATTAACACCAATATGTGAAAAGTAAAGTGAGGTACAGTGAGATTAAGGCTCAGTGGCAAATGTTAAAAAGGCCCACACAACACACCAGGATCAGAGCCCAGGTCAAATTCCTGCTCCCCACTTCCACCCCACCCCAGGAAGAAATGTATTTTTTTATTTGTTTTTATTTTTAGAAACAGAGTCTCCCTGGTCACCCAGGATGGAGTGCCATGTCATGATCATAGCTCACTGTAACCTCAAACTCCTAGACTCAAGCAATCCTCCTGCCTTAGCCTCCCAAGTAGCTAGGACTACAAGCATGTGCCACCACACTTGGCTAATTTTTAAATTTTTTGTAGAGATGGGAGTCTCACGATGTTGCCCAGCCTGGTCCTGCCAGAACTCCTGGCCTCAAGGAGACATTAGATTGAATGACAACAGCTGCAGCATTTCTTATTAAACTTAACCCTTGAAATAATAAAACTCACCGATCAAAATAGATGCTAAAATCTTTACCACAAATGAATAATTAACCCTGTGCTCAAACTGCTGCAAAAATATGAGATTCAAATGCTGGAGCCAGTGAAGTTTATATAAAGGAGAGTTTCTGTCCGTGGGATGTGGCAGTGAGTTCCGCTCTCCTTATATCTTGGCCGTCAGCTCTTTGGCTTGGTCCTGCAGCTCCATTGTTGGAATTGCTGAAAGGTGAACTTTGTCAGGTCCGTCTGCTAAACGCAAAGCTTGGGTTAAAGCATACGTGTTGGCCAGAGGGTAATCCTGGGAAACACCAGCACCTCCATACACCTAGATGGTTCGGTCAACGATTTTGCAGACAGCCCGTGGGGCAGCCACTTTAATCATTGCAATCTCCTTCCTAGTGCCAGCACTGCCCAGAGTGTCTATGCTGTGAGTGGCTTTCAGAGTCTACAAGTGGATCTGCTCAATGGCAATGCGGCTTTCAGCAATCCAGTGAGCCACAACCTCATGTGCAAACATCTTCTTCTTAAAGGCTACCCTTTGTGTTGCCTAACTCATGCTCTGCAAAGCACACTCTGCCAAACCTATTGTTCTCATACATTGGTGGATTCTGCCAGGTCCAAGGCGGCCTTGGGAAATTACAAATCCATTACCTTCACCTTGTATTAGATTTGTGGCAGGAACTTGCAGTTGATTAAAATGGATCTCAAAATGTCCTCCGTGAAAATTATCTGTGTAGACAAAAACTGACAAAGGTCTTATTAATTCTACTCCAGGTGTGTTCATGGGAATAAGAATCATGCTGTGCTTTTTTGTGTCTGGAGACAGAAGCATTTTGAGTTCTCAAAACAATTGCAATTTTGCACTTGGGAATACTAGCTTCACTGCTCCACCATTTCTTGCCATTAATTACATAGCTATCTCCATCTTGTTGGATGCTGCGTTCAATATTTGTGGCATCACTTGAAGCTACATCAGGTTCTGTCATACAGAAGCAGGAGGTAATGTCCCCTTGAAGAGGAGGCTCAAGGCACTGTTTCTCTTCCTTACTTCCAAACAGGTGTAGAACCTCCATGTTCTGCGTGTCGGGTGCTTGACAGTTAAAGACATTTGGAGCAAAAAAGCATTTTCCTGTTTCTTGAGCAATCAAGGCATAGTCCACCTGGCTGAGACCGCTGACAGCTGACAAAAACAAGTTCCAGAGACCCTCTGCTTTGGCCATTTCCTTGAGTTTATCAATCACTAAAGGTTTTCCCCACTTGTCCACTGAATTTTCATTTGAACATAGAACTCAATTACCTCATTGTAGAAGAAGAAAATGAGGCCACACAAGAACACCTAACACCCTGCCTGTCATGGTTTTTGGCATGCCTTTCCCGTTGAGCTTAATTATGTCTAACTTTGATTTAAGGTGAGAGATGTGCAATTGTCCCTTTCACTTGAACACTTAGGGGCTATTGTAGGGTTATTAATCAGCCTAATTTCAGTAGCATTATGTTCCAGGGAATAGAGCAGTCTGAGGAGAAGGAAACAGAAGGAGGAACAGCCAGTAAGTGAAACAGTCAGAATACACACAACATTTATTAAGTTCCTCATCTTATATGGATAACATTCATGGCTTCCACAAACAATTGTGATAGTATCAACAAAGATCACTGGTCATAGGTCACCTTAACAGACATAATAATAATGAAAATGTTGCAATTATTGTGAGAATTACCACAATGTGACATAGAGATAGGAAGTGAGCACATGCTGAAAAAATGGCACTGATCAGCTTGGCTTAATGCTGAGTTGCCATAAGCCTTCAATTTGTAAAAAAAAAAAAAAAAAAAGCAACTCTGTATCTGTGAAATGCAATGAAAAGAGGTATGCCTGTAAATCATAGCGATATGATCTGTTTAGAATAAATAAATTTATGCATATTGAAATTCTTTTCTAATTTTCTACGTTTGTCTACATAAAATGTAGTGTGCTGTTTGTTTAATTGACTAATTACTATTGAATTATCTTCAGCCTTTGTCTTTTTTCCTCTTTTATTTAGTGAATCATTTTACTCATCCCGTTATTTATCTGGTAATTTGGCTTTGTATTCTAGTCAGGTGTTCACTCAGTTAACAATATATCTTTCTTATATATTTTTGGTCATTTTACTATCCGCACATTAGCTGGATAATACAAAGTTGAAGACTTTTCACACTTTCTGAAGTTTTCATTGCTTCTCTTAACTTTCACATAGTTTAATTTTGACTCACCTATTATTGGTCTCTGGAGTTTGTCTGATGAAAGAACAACACTGATGCATTTGTGGCCTAGTTTTCTTTATTGCTGGGACATAATATTCTCAGTAGCAGATTGACTTTGTTTTAGTAACTACCAGCAAAAGTTATACATAAATACATAATTTTAAATTAATTGTAAGCATTGAAATCTGTGGACATGTTGATTTTGTGACATCACACAACATTCACATATTAAGGTCTCAATAAAGATTTTGTCCAAATGTGTTTCTAAGCCTCTTATGGGCTTTGTATCTGCCCGTATTTGTAATCTTCTTTGGAAATAGAATCAGTGAAGAAGTTCTTCTAAAGACTCTTTGAGTTAAACTACCTTAAAAGAGAAGCACTCCTGTTGACCTGACAAAAAAGTTACAAAATTTGAATTTTGCAAAATTTTGCATTTGTTAGAAGGCAAGGAATTTAGAAAGAAGAACCACAGAAAAAGCAATTGCTTTGAGTTTCCAGATTAGGCAGAAAATGTGTTCATAGTGGCTCTGGTTTTTGTAAATTTAGGGCAAATTAAAGAACTAGTAATGTAGTTAATTAATTATGCTATGAGAGAACATTTCTCATTAATTTTTCTGTAACTCAGAAGTTCACACTAAAGTTGGTAGCTATGCAGCCCTGCAAAGTCCATTTCTTTGATATTGCCTGCTACTTGTTGGAGTGCTTATCTCTGCTTGGTCAAAAGAGCGTCAAGCTGAGTCTTCAGGAGGAAAACCCCAACAGTGTTTAATTAGATAGGTAAACTTCCATGTTTGATCATACGGCTGGAACGTTTAATAGTGAATTAAATATATTAGATACATTATCATTGCCCATCTGTTTGCAACCAAACATAACATAGAGAACACTTTCCTAGCTCCGTTGCCTACTGATCAAGGTCAGAAAACCTTTGAATGGAAGCACCACAAAGGCTTTTCTGTGAGAGAATTGATTACATATGAAAGGGTAAATTCTGGTTCTGTTCTTGCTAGTTTATTTTACAGTCTTCAACTTCCTGTGGGAGAATACAATTCACTTGAAGGAAAGAAGCATTGAGGAGGAGGTGAGGAACTGCCCTAGAGGAGAGGGCACAAGGGATCCTTTTCCAAGGACGTAACGTTGGGGCTAGGTCTCAAAGAATAAGTTCTTTAAGGGTAGAATGAATGTTTTAGGGAGAGGGTGCAGTGTGTGCAAGGGCAGAAATCATCAGGGCAGGGTGTGTGATGCTTGTGTGCATGCACATGTATGAGTGTAGGGAACAGGAGAGCTGGAAAGGCAGGTCAGAAATGAAATAAGAAAGGTCTTTTTATCTGTGCAGAGCAACTTGTACATTGACCTAGGCCCGTGGTTTCAGACAGTGCTCCAAGAGCCCTGTCAGGCATCTATGCGGTAATGGGAAGGAATTGGGCCTTTGAAATCCTTATCTTCCTTTCAGCCAGGGTTAATATACATTATTGTATAAATTTTCTTTCTTCCTATCCTCTGTGTTAAACAAAATGCTTTGCAGCTTTCATATTTATCTTTGGTAGTTACGTATTTGTTCTCAGTTCTGGGATATTTTAATTTTTGTCATGTGGTCATTAAAACCGTGTGTTATTATCTTAGTCTATGACTTGCCTGGACCATCTTTACTTTGCTACTTCCCATTCTTCTTTCCTAATAAAATAATTTGTGATTGAATAATCAGAATGACTCCTGGGGAGGCTCTTGTCCTTTTGGCCTGTCTTCCCTTTTAGGATGGCATGCCACAGACTTTTATCAAGCCATCTAGTTCAACCTTTCCCTTGATGGTTATTGTAAGCCTCTGTGTGACATGGCCCTTCAACCCTTGGATTCATGTCACTTTTGCTTCACCAACCCATTCATATTTTGACCTTAAGTCTCTAAATACTTTCTCGACCTTCTTGATGCTAAAACTGTGAAGACCAGTCCCATGCTTTCTTTGCACTGAATGAGAGACAAGAGCTATTGAGGTCCTCACTACAACTGTGTCTATTTTGTGTCCTGTCTCAGTAGTGCATTCTAGAATGGGCTCAGAAATGTTGCAATATCATCACAGTACTTTTCATTTCTTTCCTTCCACAAATTTTTTGTAAAATAGTATTCTCTGGTAATTTACTTCTATTGCACTTACCTTACACGTGGCCAGTGAGTTTTTTTGTTTGCTTGTTTATTAATAGGGTAACTGATTTTATTGTTATATTTGAAATATAGGCTTATCCTAGCAATGATCAATAATACCTATCTTGTCATAGTCATTAGCCTATATTACAAATGTAAGCTTGATTATTTCAAGGTCAATCTTGATTTTCAGGACTATATACATAGTTCTGTAGCTACATTAACTTCAGCAACTGTAAGTAGCATCTGTGATCTTTAAAATTGTTTCCTCATGGTGATTGTTAGATACATACTCTCTAGTTAGATTTTCTGGTAGACTGATGTGAGAGATGTGTTGGGCAGGGTAGAATTTCAGGATTTCTCAGTAGAGGCAGAAATGATTTTCTACTCTATGTGCAAAGTTAAGGATTCATAATGTAAAAGCTCAGTTGAGAGGCCTCTTTTAAAAAGAGTGGCAGAAAATATGAGAAAAATGTGGGAAAGTTTAGTCTTGCACACCCCTGGGGGTTTGGCAAGCTTCACATGTGATAAAACTTGACTAAATCTTCTCCTCTGTGGATCACAGTTGAGGACCCCACCAGACTGAGGTACACAATTGTATTAATCCATTGTAAAACAAAACTAAAACTGTAATGAATGTATTTGGAGAGAAATAAATATGAAAGGAATGAAATGTAGTATTACTTGATACTTTTGGTATGGAGTTAGGCAATTTACTTTTGCTTATATAAGAAGGTTCAATTAGAGCGGTTCTGCTGCAGATGACCATTAATTACTATTTAATTTATTGGTAGTTAAAAAACCCGATTTATTTGAGCAAGTAGAATTATTTAGATTATTCTTGATAAACACTAGTTCATTATTATAATTAATGCTTCGGAAGATCATGACCAGTTTATCTTTAGAAATAGGTGCTATCTCAGTAGATGCTTCTTTTTTTCTCTTCTTTCCTCCTTGTTGAGATGATTTAAATGTTAATGCTCACATGCACAGAATGTTCACTCTCATGATTTCATTGCTGTTGATTTTATTCTAAGCAGTGATGTTGGCTCTTTTAAAAATCATTCTTTGAGATTATTTGTTAATTTCTAGTGTTATTGGGGAATGAATGAACTAGATTTCTCTAGTTCAGCTGTTATGATTTCTTATATTTTAACATTACCTTCTTTGTCCACCAAGAAAAACGGATGGAACCCTTCCATAGTAGGTGAACTCTGCAATGATTTTCATCAGGCGAAAGCATGACAAAACTTTCTGATGGGACTGAAGAGAAATATATAAATAAAAACATAACTGCTGCTTGAGCTCTTCCTGCAGATGGCACTGGTGTTACTTGGATAAAGAACATTTTTGTGCTCAGCAGCTTTTAGTTCATTGTTCACACTGGAAAGGATTATACATACCAGGAAACTAAGTAGACATTTTGTAATAAGTACTCTCTTATCTGTGCATGATTGAACCCCAGCATGGTTCACCCAGTCCTTTTGGAGGTCTGCTTTCCAATTAACACATTCACATGGACAATAAAATCTGATGCAGTACTCTTTTTGACTAGGGAAGAGACCTACCACGAAAATCACATCAAAAAGTAAAGCTCCAGGACCGTTCTCCCAGTTGCATCTGCTTGAAAAATCCAGCCTAGTCTGCGAATGCATAAATATTACAGGGGTTTGGAGGGAGATATCATGACTTTTTAAAGTAAAAAATATGTTATTCTGCTAAAATCCTGGGGAGATTTATTCTGATAATCTTAAAAGTGAATTTCAAAAGATTTATTGAACACTTATATGAGGCAATGCATTGTGCCAGATTGCTGCGAAAGGTTCAAAGATTAAAAACAGAAAACAAACATGATCTGTATCTCCTCAGATCTCTCAAGCTAATTGCAAAAACAGACATATGCATAAACATGTGAGATGCATGTTGGTT